GGGGGTTTGAGCGGAGAGAAAAGTTTTGAGAAACAATGTACAAATGCGCTTTACACAATTGATGTGTGTATGGATTGGGATAACAGTTGTATGAGCCCCTAATAAAATGTTAAAAAAAAAAAAAAAAGAGCAAGGGGATGATTAAAGAGCGAGATCAGTGTTCTCCACCTTCCTGATGCGGCCACCCTTTCATACCGTTCCCTCATGTCATGGTGACCCCAACCATAAAATTATTTTCGTTGCTGCTTCATCACTGTCATTTTGCTACTGTGATGAATCGTCATGTACATATCTGATATGCAGGATGTATATAAATGCTATAAATGAACATAATTAAAGCATAGTGATGAATCACAAAACAATATGTAATTATATAATGTGAAACATTTATGTGTTTTCTGATGGTCTTAGGTGATCCCTGTGAAAGGGTCGTTTGACAGGAGTCGAGAGGTACAGGTTGAGAACCGCTGAGTTAGCGGCTATGATGTGTTTCATCAGTGCTGTACCGCACCCTGGATGCATCATCCCTTCCACAAGCCCTTCTCTGAGGGACTGTCCAGTTATCTTACAGGTGGGGTTTGAGTCCCCACTTTGTCTACACTCCTTCACGTCAATTTGATGACTTGTTTTTGAACTTCCGATACCTCTTCCCATCGACACCTCATGATCACACAGGCTGCTGTGCTTCTTCCACATGGGCTTTGTTGCTTCCCTGCTAGATGGCCGCTTGTTTAACTTCAAGCCTTTTAAGACCCCAGACGCTATATCTTCTAATAGCCAGACAGCATCAACTTTCTTCACCACATTTGCTTATGCACCCATTTTGTCTTTAGCAATCATGTCAGAAAGGTATCATATATTGCCATATTATTAGAACAAACTGTTCTTGTACTTAGATAAGATTTAAGTAGAGGCCCAAAGTCCATCTGCTTCATATATATATATATGCATCTATATTTGTACCTATATATCTAATTTTTACGTTCGTGTTCTTTTCTCTTTTTCCTCTAGCCCCACTATCATGCTTACCCATCATTCACCTCTCAATAATTCCTCTCGGATACATTTCAATTGATCAAACATGACCAGGAACACGGCACCCTCCTCGCCATCTATTTTAGATCCCTTGCTATACCCCTGGCCCTGTCCTTATTGGCTCACCACTTCACCGCTCCCCTCCCCACCCCTCCTCCTTTCCCATTCCCCACCCCGGGAACCCTCCTCCCTTTGCTGTCTCCTTGGGATTGCTTATCCTGCCTATCTTATGTAGATAGACACCAAAAGAAAAAAGAGAGAGAGAGAGACCATACAGCTAGCTCCAGGTCTAACAACTGTCCTGACCCAGGTAGATGAGTATATATCTGTTAAATAGCGAGCAGACCCTGTTATAATCCATCAGTCCAATCCCCTTTTCTTTCAGCATTCCCTATCCCAGGACCCACTTACCAAGCAGTACTTATACCCTTTTAGTCCCCAGCATTGGTGACTGGGGACGCACTGTCTACAAGACCCCGTTTCTCTTCCTGCAGTCAAGGATGGAGTGGTCTAGCGCACCACTTTAGACTTTCAGTGTGGCCCCCTTGTGACTATCCCCCAACTGGTTCCGATGAGATGCCAAGCCTGCCTGCGCCCCCCAGTCACACCCGGAGTCAGAAGTTTGAATCAGATTCTTCGGGGTCTTCGGTGGTATCCCCTTAGTTTGTCCCCAGGTGGGCCGGGCAGACGGGCCAAGACTGTAACTCTTTACGGGGGTAGAAAACCTCGTCTTTCTCCCACAGAGGGGCTGGTGAACTCACATATCACAGTCCAATGCATACCCACGGCACCGCCAGGGCTCCTTAGGGGTAGAGTTGTTGTTGATGATGTTGTTGGGATATAGAGGTATGAACCATGTCATCAGGTGGGTGAACTGGGGTGGCTTGAGGACTGCCTCTAAACCCGGCAGCGCAGAGCCCGGCCCGTGGGCATCCAGATACATACACAGCCGCAGCAGCAGTGGCTGCTCTCTGTCTGTCTGGGGCTGTGTTCTAAATACATCGATCACACAGCTTTTGCCAACCCCACTTTTTTTAAAAAATTATTTTATTGGGGGCTCATACAACTCTTATCACAATCCATCCATCCATCTATTGTGTCAAGCACATTTGTGCATTTGTTGCCATCATCATTCTCAAAACATTTTCTTTATACTTGAGCCTTCCTCATTTCCCCCCTCCCTCCCAGCTCCCCATCCCTCATGAACCCTTGATAATTTATAAATTATTATTATTTTGTCATTTCTTAGACTGTCCAGCGTTTCCCTTCACTCACTTTTCTGTTGTCCATCACCCTGAGAGGGGGTGATAGGTAGATCATTGTGATCGATTCCCCCTTTCTCCCTCGCACCTTCCCCTTCCCCTCCTGATATGAGTACTTTTAATATTCGTCCTGAGGGGTTTATCTGTCCTGGATTCCCTGTTTCAAGCTCTTATCTGTACCTGTGTGCATGCTCTGGTCTAGCCACATTTGTAAGGTAAAATTGGGGTCATGACAGGGTGGGGGGAGCCTGAGAGAACCAGAGGAAAGTTGTAGAGTTCATCAGTGCCACACTGCACCCTGACTGGCCAATCCCACTTCTGACCCACTTCTGACCCACGTGCCGCTTTCTTGACCGCAATTGCAATACGGGCTCTGCAACCCCACCCGTAATCAGTGTGCCTTTTCGTTTGCTGTTAACCCCCTCTCCTCCGCCCTCCCTCCTGCCCTTAGCAGCCTGGTAACTGCTGGTCTCCATGCATTGGCTTCTCCTTGTCTTTTAAGGTGCGTGGGGTCAATTGGCTTATTTCAGGCAGCTTCATGTCCGCAGGCTCCATCGTGCTGTAGCAGGTGACACGCTTCGCTTCCTAGCTGAGCAGTATCCCCTTAGAGGTAAGTGTCACACCTTCTATACCATTCATCTGTGGGGGGTGGCCTAGGGGTTCCTCGCTGGGCTGCTAACTGTCACCAGCCGCTCCTTGGGGAAAAGACAGGGCTTTCTCGGAAACTCGGAGAGAATGGGTTACTTTGAGTGGGCATCAAGTCCATGGCACTGAGTTTTCTGTATTGCTCTATCGATCTATTGTTGGGCATCTGGGCCCTCTCCCTGTGCTATTTTGAATAACGCTGCGATAAGCATGGGTGGACAGGTGTATTTCTGAGTCTCTGCTGTCCAGACTTTGGGATACACACCTAGGATGGAATGTCTGGGTCACAGAGCCCCGGTGGCACTGTCCAGCAAGCAGGTTGACTATCAATGGCAAGACAGGTGGCTCAAACCCACCAGCCACTCAGAGGGCGAAAGATGAGGCTGTCCGCGCCTGAGAAGATTCACAGCCCCAGAAACCCTATCAAGGTCGAGGGTCGCAATGCGTCGGAGGATCCCTGGTTTGACACCCCACCCCCCTTCCACAAAGATTGACAGCCTGGAAAACCCACGGGAAGCTCCACTCCGTCGTCCTGTAGGGTCGCTATGAGTGAGAATCTACCTGCGGCCATCGAGTTTCGTGGGTCCTTACAAGAGCATGAAACTGCCCGGTCCCGCACCAGCCTGGAGCCCCTGTCGCAGGCCACCGTGTCCACGCGTCTGCGGCGCAGCTCCACCTGGAGTGTTCCGAGGCACGGCGACACTGCCATCATCAGGTCCCACCTCCAACCCCCCGCCCCCAGCCACGGATTAGGGTGGGGTGTTCATTTACAAGGCGAGTCGTCTGCCCGGTTTCCTGAGGCTCAGGGGCGCCCCTGCAGTCACGTACCACTGTGACCACGCCGAGGCTGCACTTGAACAAGGCCAGGGCTTCCCATCCCCGGGGGCTTTACAAACGACGGGCCCTTCCAGGCGGGAAGGAGGCGGGGGTCTTCCTTCAGACGGCCCGGTGGCGGGGCGGGTTAGAGTGGAAATGCAAGGAGAGTCGTCCCCGGCCCCCGCGCCCGCCGGGGG